TAACTTGTTTTGAAAAGGTTAGACAGTCTAATTTTAAGACTGACACAAATCTAAACATACTATGTCTAGCGATCAAAGGCCAATATTGCACATATTAAGTACGTTGTGCTAGATAAAAAAATTAAATCTAGATAAAGACCAAACTAGACTTATAATATGCCTGGGCCTGCTGCAAGCTAATCTTGAAGTCTAAGAAAAAAATTATATAGAGAACTGGACAAAATTAAAAATAGGCAAAAGTCCGCATATAGTGCATGTTTAAGAAAATGATATTCAAAGGTATATTAAGGTAAGGAAAACTGCAAAAATTATGTATTTGGAATAGGCACACCAAAGAAAATAAGTTTGGGTAATGCGATTAGAATCCATTCTAATTTATTGTAAATTAATATATGAAAAAGTTTGTTTTTAAGATTATTCCCCCCTTCCCAAAGGAAAGATTCCAGAAAAATGGTTATAAGTTCATGCAAAAATTTGTGGTGCTCCTCAGCTCTCTTTCCTTATCAACTATTACTGAAAATAATATCAGATACTTTTGTCCCAACTAATATCTTCATATGACACAATATGTACCTATAAATACAATATCTACACTTCTAAGGGCCTCATTCCAAAATCAATCAAGGTCATGAGAATGAATATTTAACAAAACATTCCATGTGCGAAATTAATTGGTCCACATCTACATACAAACATAATCTCACATGTAAACCATTCTCCCTGTGCCTAAACAAGGAAAGTGTAGTCAAGACAAACAAGGAGACCAACTGAAAATCTGACCTCAGCAACCACCAAGCTGTGCATACGAATATTGACATTAATTCTGTTAAATTCATTTACACTTATTCTCTGGTTAAGTACATACAGGCTGTTATGCTATGGTTAGTCCTATTTACAGAAAGTCTTACTCTTTTGCAATTTCAACTTATGAACTTGATCAACTTTTTCTGATAAAATTGTCCTGCAATCTTCAACGCCTACACTGCAAAAACGTATGGAGTACTCTACTTGACCAAGGTAAAGCTACAGACGCAATTTACATAGACTTATGCAAAGCCTTTGATTCAGTGGTACATGACAAACTACTGTTAAAACTAAACTCCTACAGCATTTCTGGATCCCTTCATAAGTGGATTACTGCGTTCCTGTCAAACAGGCAAGAAATAGTAAAAATAGGGAGCGCTCTATCAAACCCTGCTCCAGTTAACAGCTGTGTCCCCCAAGGCAGCGTTCTAGGACCCACACTCTATATACTCTATATAAATGACCTTTGCGATCACCTTATAAGCAACTGCGTCCTCTTTGCGGATGACGTAAAACTATTCAACACCACCGACAATGCTACTATCCTTCAAAGCGACCTTGATTATGTATGGTCAAATATCTGGCAACTCCAAATCTCGACCAACAAATGCTCTGTCCTACACATTGGTAAAAAAATCAGTACACCAAATACAAACTAGGCAGATATGACCTCACTGATGATACTCACTGTCAAGGACCTTGGAGTTTTCATATCAAATGACCTAAGCGCCAGAGCTCACTGTAACAACATTGCCAAAAAGGCATTAAGAATTGTAAATCTAATCTTACGAAACTTCTCCTCCGGAAATATTGAAATTGCTAACTAGAGCATACAAAACTTTTGCCAGACCAATACTCGAATACAGCTCATCAGTCTGGAATCTGCACTGCATATTGGACATTAATACAATTGAACAAGTCCAGAAGTATTTAACGAGAAGTGTACTACACTCCTCTGCTCGCAACAGAATACCCTATATCACCAGGCTTGAGATTTTGGGTTTGGACAACCTTGAACTACACCACCCATGGTTAGATTTAAGTGTAGCACACAAAATTATCTGCTACAATGTCCTACCAGTGAATGACTACTTCAGCTTCAACCACAACAATACAAGAGCACACAACAGATACAAACTCAATGTTAACCGCTCCAAACTTAATTGCAGAAAGTACGACTTCAGCAACAGAGTGGTCAATGCCTGGAATGCATTACCTGACTCTGTTGTTACATCCTCTAACCCCCACTCCTTTAACCTCAAACTATCCACTATTGACCTCACCCTATTCCTAAGAGGTCTGTAAGGGGCGTGCATAAGTATACAATCGTGCCTACCGTCCCTGTCCTATTGTCCCCATTTATTAGTACCTATTTCCTGTATTCTTACTCATGTTTATACTTATACCTATTATCTTGTAAGTGATTGACAAATCAAATCAAATAAATAAAAATAAAAAGCTGTCTACAACTCCAACCTAGAAGATCCTAGAACAGCCCCCCCCCCCATATTTCTTGGAGAGAGGATTTTTTTGTGGACCAGACAGGTCGTGATTTCACATGCTACCTGTACCCTGCGGATGGCGCTTGTTTACATGACCCAGTTGCTGGCATACCGCAGATGACTGCTGGAACACAGACCATCCTAGAAGACAAAAAGGAATTGCATACATACGCTGATTGTTTTAAAATTGACTTATGAACAGCCTGTTGGGATACAACCTATTTTTAAGTAGAAAATTGTATTCCATGTAATCTGCAATGAAAATTAGTGAAGGGATCCTAAAGCTACTTAATTGTTTTGAACTTTCTGTTTAGAAAAGAAATGAGTTAACCGGTAAGAGCTAGTGCTAAGTGCTAAGCTACAAGAACAAAGAAATGCTTGCATGATCACCTTGTAATAAGTTCCAATGAGTTATGTGGCTCTTACTCCGTGCATCTGTAAGCATGCCTGGCAGGAAGAGGTCTTGTAGTTCTATTTTGTCAGCACACTATTGTCATTCACATCCTGTACAAAGTGGAGATTTTCTTCTTCCTAATTTGCGTGGGCAGTGGGCATGCATGCTGCTTGAAGGAATGGCAGTAAATTTACCTTTTTTTCTGCATTTGTTTCAACTATTTGATTTTAACAATTTATCTATTTATACTTTAGATTTCTAAGGCTGCCCAACTTTACAACAGGCAGTGTGCAAATTAAAACCAAATGTATTATTTCCCCTCAAAGTATATTATAATAGGGGAATAGAGAACCACCACCATCAAATACAACATAGTTTAATCCAAGTGGATTTATATCCCAAACCGTTCCAGAGTTTGGGGCAAAAAACCAGGTCTTCAAGGTTCGTTAAAAGGACTGCAGGATTGGGCTATTCAAGTCTTTGAAAGTGGATGCTATTCCAGAAGATTAATGCTTATCATTTTACTAAGGAGGAAACTATATTTAAATAAAAATCCTAAATACCTGATCTAGCTGTTAGAAAAAGAATCAGGACCATATCTTCCTTTTGCCATTACCAGAGAAGGAATGTGGGAACTAAAAGAGGTACTGAAAGTTATAGTACAGAAAAGAGGCACAGAAAGTTATAGCCTTGAGAATATTAATCTAACCAGTTAGAGGCATGCTAGATAGTTGGAAGGAATAAAATAAGAAGACTCCATACACTAACGTTAACTACAGCTATCCTCCCTAGATTGAGAAAACTACTGAGTAAAGTTTCCACAATTTTTCATACAATCAATCTTCAGAAGATAAGTAAATCTTAAAATATGTCCATGGAAATACTAAAAAAAAAAAAAAAAAAAGAATCATGTTATCTTACAAAGCTGGCAAGGGTGAAATTTGATGAAGAAATCTTTATGAAGAACGAGCTAACTAAAGCCACTTCAAGATTGAATTCACGAAGGGTTATGAGTCTTGGTAACGATGTCAATATACAAAAACAAAATACCTGCAAATTGGCCATGTGCATTTTTAGAAATACTGTATATTTCATGTAAAAAAAATAAAGGGTTGGGATTATTTCCCATAATAAGTAATGTACAACTCATATATTTTAATGCAGGGCTAAATTACAATTATGACAGACTTTATTATACAATTTATACAACTATTACACTTTATTTTGGATTGTCCTAAGGGATGAGCAGGGCAACAAGATAATGGATTAAATACACCTTATTTAGCTATTTCATATATGAAAACAGATTGGCTAAATGCATAGAGAAATATTTATGGATATATTATGCTAAGTATTTTGTTCAAAAACTGGAAAGAGTTAGAGAAGTTGGATAAGCAATACCAATTTTTATCAGCAGTCATATTTGTATACCGTAGAAAAGCTTGGGCTTCTCTGTGTTTGTGTCCTTATACTGAAACAAGCATTCTGAGATACAGAGAAGAAAAATAGATAGTATGAAAAAAAATTAACTAAAATACTTATATTCTGCCTTTTAACTTCAGCAGGAGGTCTGAACAGGTTTATCGAAGATGAATTGAAATAATATAAGCTAGAACAAAACAAAGCACAGAACTAATGAAGTTGACAAGGGGACCTAGAGTAGAGCTCCTGCATTTACTGTTGATGAAGAGGCTCAGTTAATCATATATTAAACATCTTTGAAGCAACACTTTTCCTTCTGTTGTATATTTGTACCCTTGCATGAATAAGTGGATTTATATTTGAACCCTTTCATGAATGCTATGAGATCTATTGATTAAGAACTGAAACCTTCAAGCTTCTCATCAAATGTCAGTAAAAAGAAGCTCATTAATACCATTGTACATTCTTTTTTTCCACTAAATTATATGAATTGCTTTTCTTTAGATTTTTAAAATAGTTCAGTGTTTTTCACTTCAATTTAAGAAAATGGATAAAACAACCAGTCTATTTAATGATACAGCTGAAGTTGGGTTTTTTGAATTAAATATGTGGAAAAGATATTAAATATATTCCACTCAACTTCCAGAGAAAAATCCTTCGTATCATTAAAAACCTTTAATGCCTTTTAATTTTTCAAATAATTCTATAACGATTAAAATAGCTTCCTGTCTCTTTCAATGTTTTGTAAAGGACTAGCTTGTTACTTTTATCATGCAACTAATACCAGATTTTAAAGTAGACTCTGTAAACAACTTTCTGTTTGAGACAATTATCAGGAAGATCAAAATGTAAGAAAGCAAAATTACTTTAGTGTTTTCAGATTTTATTAACATCAGTACAAGTAATGGTAGGAATGAAATACAATTTAAAGTAAAAGCATCCTGAACAATATTAAGTTATATGGCATCCTTTTTATTAAACACTTTCAATCAATATAGTCAAAATCTTCTGGTATACCAAATGTTTTGTCAATTTTGTTGTCTTCAAATCCAAACTTCCGTTTAGCCCAAGATTTTACAGCAAATATATTATCTGTAGATAAAGTACATGGAAAACAGTGGATATTAGGGCTTCAAGTGTTTATAATGATAATCATAATAAAAGACCCTTAATGTTTCAAGATAATTAACAGATCTACAAATTGTCATCCTGAGGCCCCTCCTCAGATCTAAACTACCTATTTGGTTGCAACATCCAACAGTGATTATTTTGTGATTTCCAATTCTCACGTAGAGATGAGGATAAGAACTACACTGAAATTTCCTGTATGAGACACTTCAGCAGTAAGTTTTCCAAAAGACAACTGATTGCGCCATAGACATAGGGTGAACAGTTCAGCACAAAATCTACTGTGCTTAGAACTTGACACTCTTTTTCATTCAGGAATTTTAAAAAAGAAACCAACCCTTCCCTCTCTACACTGAAACAGAAGACTGGTTACATGATCAAAATTCAGATGCTTAGCAACTGACTCATGTTTGGTTGCAGTGTTCCTGGGATCATATGATCACCTAACAAGCAAAGTCAACAGCAGAAGGAAGATTTATTTAACAACAACTGCAATGATTTACTTAACAACAAAGGTTGTAAAATGGGGCAAAACTCCCTTAGCAACAAAAAGTTGGGATTCATTTGCGGTTGTAAGTCAAAGACTACCTGGTAGATGGCAGTTCTATAATCAAGAAGAGTTTTTCCCAGCTGACCACTTCTAAACTTCTGTGAAAGAATCTCTAAAAACTATTTAAATGAACCAGAAATTTCATATAGATGTCAATTCTTTTTATTTAATTATTTGCAGTTTTATTGATTCATTTTAAGTAACATATGCAAATTTATTTTCAGTGATAAAATTGATGTAGCTGAAACATGATTACGTACCAATTAGTTTGGACTTGATTACACATGAGTGTTCCTGGAAAACTGTCTCAATGTGGAATGTGATGTAATGTGATTAAATTGTAATTATAATGTAAAATCATAAACCATTCATATCATCATTCACAATAATCTGACAATGAGCAAGCCCATTTATTGTGTCAGCTGCTTTGTATAATTACCATAAATCATATACTGCTGTGTACTCTAATCCAAAATCCCAAGTAACTTCAAATTGATTTACACATTTTATTGCTTTTCATTCATTCATTCATTATTTGGTTAGTTTGCACCAACTATCATTATTTGCAGATTACTTGAAGATTGTCACACACAATCTGTGTATAAAATGCTTAGCACCTAAACAATAACAGAAGTGATACCTAGCAAAAACTGAGTCTATAACTAAGAACAATTAAAACATATTAATCAGAAATCACAAAAATTATATTACAAGCAATGGCATCTTCACCAGTAATTGTTATTTTATGGGTTTTCAGCAATCTCTTTTCTGGAAAATAAATCAGTTTTATGTAAAAAAAAAAAAAGTAATTACAATCTAAAGCTAAAACTTGTATCTTTTCATGTATTTATTTTTGTTCACAGAAGAATGAATGCTGTAAAATAACGTAATGCAGACACACCAGTCCATCTGTTGGCTGCTTCCTTAGCTATTTTATTTGCTTGACCTAAAAAGAAGAACAAATAAAGAAATAAAATTCCTTAGAAGCAATTCATTAGTTCACTAACTTAACAGACTCAAAAGAATAAAACTATATTTTCAGACTTATTATGCATTTTAAATAACTTGAAAATGTTTTATTGTCCCTTTGAAGTTAATATTCAACCTGAAAGATGGCATATATCTGGCTATACTACAGGAAAATAAGAATCCTTTAGTGCTTCACTGAATTAGAAGAGGCTATGCTCTAAGAAGAAACAATGTATTGTACAAACATTTAAAAATTAGGATATCTGAATTCTGTGATTCATAATGAAGAATGTTATTTGAAATAATGCTTTTATTTGTATTTTTCACTAAAGATGAATACATTTATAAAAAAAAACCATGGATGAATTACAGAATCATGACCCTTTAGTAAAAATCCCTTGCTCATTTGTTATAAATTATTTGGGTAACTTCGTAATGTGCCAGTTCATATATTCTTGTTATTCACTTTCCTCTGCTATGGGACAATTTATAAAATGGGAATTGGCAGCTAGTAAAGTTCATAAGTGTATAGTGAAAAACAGGGTCGTCTTAACAGCATTATTGGCCCCGGGCAAAGCAGTGTACTTGGGCCCCTATGACAACTAACGAATAAAAATGTGAATGGTCGATAAAATTAGACATATATTTATTTTATTGGCACTTCCAACAAAATCGATGTTATTTAATAAAATAACACCGATTAATTAAAAATGCAGTAAAATGTAATAAATATGTTGCTGTATTTATATGATACAAGGTGTATTAAAGGGTTAACATACACATATTAATATGGGGCCCCTATGCTTGTGGGGCCCAAGGGCAAGTGCCCATCAGGCCCATGCATTAAGACAGCCCTGGTGAAAAAACTCCTGTATCCAAAGTTCTACACCAATGAGTTTGTTTGCTTATAGATACAGACAACACTGGTTAAGGTGAACATCCCTCCACCAAAAAAATATATACATTGATTTTATGAGATTATTTAATCACATGCCAAAATAATACTAAAACATTTCTACAGTAGATTAGCATATGATCACTTAACAGTTAGAACAATTAATCAGTGGAACAACTAGCCTCCAGAAGTTGTGAATATTCCAACACTGGAAGCCTGGACAACCCTTTGTCTGAAATGGTGCAGGGTTTCCTGTCTGAGCAGGGGGTTGAACTAGAAGACCTCCAAGGTCCCTTCCAACTCTGTTATTCTATTGTTCAGAAGATTGTAGGGAAACGGCTATTGGGACATATGGAAACTGCTCTTATAGCAAATGAGGTTTTACAGCTCTCTCTTCATTTTCTGATTTCCAGGCTTTCCATAGTGAGATCCTGAAATTATTTATAGTTCTCACATCCACATATAGCCCTGGTTTGTCAGTATCTGTCTAGCATTTTTAGTGGCAGTGGTCAGTATATGTTTGTCTCTAGGAATGATAAAAATTAATGCAACTTTAAATGTTTCATTGCTATAAATTTACACTGCAGATAGTCTTCAACTTACACACAGAATGGAGCCCAGAATTAATGTTGCCGAGTGAGAAATTTAAGTGAGTTTTGCCACATTTTATGACTTTTCTTGCCACATTTGTTAAGTGAAGCAATGCAGTCGTTAAATTAGTAACACAGTTGTTAAGTGAATCTGGCTTCCCTGTTGACTTTGCTTGTCAAAAGGTCGCAAGAGAGGATCACATGACACCCAGGACAATACAATAGTCATAAATGTGAATCAGTTGTCAATGATGTCATGTAAATCATGTGACTGAGAGGATGCTGCAACACTCGTAAGTGTGAAAATTGTCATAAATCACTTTTTTTAGTGCCATTGTAACTTTAAATAGTCACTAAGTGAACTGTTGTAAGTCAAGGACTACCTGTATTAGCAAGATTTAATTTGCAAAATAAACTTATGTTAAATATGTGACAGGACAATACCCAACTCCAAGCCCTACCCTATAACATAAAGAACTATTTTATTTAAAACTTGCAGATGAGATCAATTAGCTTCAGATTAAAAATCATAATAATAAATTTTAAAGAAATAAAACAAAGGAAAAATAGGGTAAAAAAGGATCCTGTGAATTACATTACAAAGACAAGTTCTCATCTAAAATGATATATATTCCCTGAAATGATAAAATGAATCATGAATAATATTATTTCACTGTAGTTAGTGAAATAAATAAATCTCATTTACTTTTAATAATCCTATTTTAATCAAAATATTAAACAAACTAATGATAAAACTTTGCAACTTTATAAATCTATTTATTGGCAATAAGCAAAAATATTTAAAATTTGAAACACCAATTATAATAGAGTGTTCTTGCATAGTTTTTGAAATTTGGGTCTTATTTTGTACATAGCCATTCTTATTCACTGAAATCAAAGAAAAGAAAAAAAAGACGACGTAAAAAACCTGCTTCAAAATGCCTGCAGCTTGCAAAAAACTGGAAGGCAATAAACTGTTTTTTCATTCTTTCCTCCCATGCAGACAGAGTGTGATAACAACCACAGCCCATTTTGTCTTTCCTCTCTAGCCTAGTGTTTGAGTCCCTTGTGCATTTTTGCAACATTTTCCTTCTTCGGGGTCCTTTTCTCTTGTTCTCTCTTGCAATTATATCTGTAAAAAGATGGGCTTATATTATAGTTCACAAGAGTTTGCAACCCACATGTTAAGAAATATTCTTATACAAACAGAATTTTTTTAAAAACCCTTTATTGTATTTTTTAAAGATTTCCCCCCTTACTCCTCTACCAAATATTAATAGACAATAAATAAAATTGCTACAAGTCAGCTATAGATTTCCCCTGCAAGTATTGTATAATATTTTTAGCCAGACCCCAAATCCACAATTCTAAGAAAAATGTAGGCAGCCTGAATAAATAGTGATACATCCAAATTAATGTTAACAATCTTGCCAATGTTAGCCCAAAATAGGACTACAGACCAATGTTCTATCTCGTGAGTTAATTTTAACCAGCCTGTATAAAACAATTCTGAAGCTTCCAAGGTGCATTAAATAAAACTTTGCTTTAAACCGCCACTCCATTGGTTTACAGAGACAGAACACTCAACTTGTTATTGCAGAAGTCACATAAATAACTTGCAACCATTTTGTCAACTTCTATGACAAACAGTTATTTGCTTAAGTATTATTAAGACGCCCTCCTTGCTTTCAGGACATGAAGACCTCTTAAAAATTTGTTCAGGACATGTCATCATGTGGAGTTTCTATCTCTGTTCCCGATTCTGTTCCAGTGGGGCAGGCTAAAGTCAAATCAAGTTGATCTGACAGGCAAATTGAGTTTTTCTGTCAGAAAATGCAATACAATCCCACATACCAACATTCTGATCCAGATGCTGAGGGAGGTCAGTGACCGGGTTTCCAGATGCCCTGATGCAGGACCATTCAATCTCTAGCCATGAGGCTCTGAGACTCTAATACCTCTTGTGCTTTTCTGCTAGAGAGGGCCCACCCAAGCAACCAAAGAAGGGTATTTTTAGGTTGGGTTTTTTTTTCTTTGCCTGGAACAGCTCTGTCCTTGCTCCAGATTAGAAAAAATAGTGGGAGCAGAAAAACTAGAAGCCTCTGTAGAATAGAAAAAAAACTTCTAAGGAGACACTCTTCCCTGCTTCTCTCCCCTGCACTTGCTCTTATCTCTGAATTTACAGGCAGCAGTCATCTACAAGTGCAGCCCTGATTCCATGTGAGGGTAGCAGCCTTGCTGGCCTCGTTTTGGTGGCACATCCAAAAGTATATTGTGTGGGGAAGCAGATTTAGAAGGAGCAGGCCTTCCCCTATTTCAAAGGACACAGGTAGTCCTCCAGTTACAAAAGCAATTGGGACTGGAACTTCCCACAGGAAGTGATGTGGTTATCATGCGTGATGTCACATGACTGCACTGCTTAGTGACGGTAATCTCGGTAATCCTGGTTGTCATGATTAAGCAAAGTTTGCAGGTTATTAAGTGAAGACCTCATGTGACCAGGACTTGGAAAGGATCTTGGACCAGGACCTTGGAAAGACTGTTGTCTTACAACAAGCAGTCAATGGGGAAGCCAGCATGATGTCAAAGGCTCTGGGCAGCCTGCAAGCAAGCCAGCAGATGGGTAAATGCTAATGATTGCAGCCACAAAAGGAAAGTACTGTTCTAGTGCTGTGCAAATATTGAACAGATGTGCATGTTCTACAGATTGCAGGTTCGGAGTGTGCTGTGTATGGGCAGATGCAACTAATTTCATACTCTGTAGCGGGCTCCTTAGAAAAAAAAGATGGCAGAGGTGACTTATGGGACCAACTTGCGACCTTCCCTTCTGGCTTCCCCATTGACATTGCTCAGGTGACCACACACTGCTGCAACCATGTGAGTGGGAAGTGGTGGCCAAGTGCCTGAATCACAAAAGAATGATGTGACAGTTGGAGCATCACCCATTTGGTGCCATTGCAACTTGGAACAGTCTCCGAAAGAGTAATTGTTAAATGAGGACTAAGAAAAATATGAAGTATCAACTGCATATAATACAGTTATGCCTATTTGGTTCCAGTCGTATATTTCTGGAAAAATAATAAAATAACTTTATATCTTAGATAAACTGTAAGACATTCAAAATTCTTCTAGTAGTTTTTCCACTGTCAACATAGGGAAAATACTTTGTGGGAAGGCAACTAACAAGACAAAATTTATGCATACTACTGTTGTATTTGAGAATATACTATTTTAGGTATTAATATTGGTTTTACTATAAGCAAAAGGGAAAGAGAAAGGACAGGAAAAGAGATTTAAATGCATTACTTAGAACCATCAACCTTTTTATGAAGTTGTTATTTTAGAAAGTGTGGAGGATTGTGAAATAACAAACTATTACTTTAATAAAAATAAATATAATTTGAATTTTCATTGAGAATATACTGGCAATGTAGTGAAATAAGGAAAAAGAAAAAAGAAAAAAAACTTTTGACCTTGAAAAAACATCAAGCA